GTGAGTGTTCCCGCCCCGGCAATTTGTGCCGCAGGGCGTAACCCGGGTTTGTTAGCTCCGGGGCATGGGGTTTCGGGGGCCTCCTGCTCCCTTCCTCCCCCACAAGGAGCTCTTATTTATAAGTGTCATAATAATGGCAAATCACAGAAACATCTTTGTGCCTCCAGAAAGGTGTGGTCACAGCCTTTACATTGTACCTATTCATTATCTATCAGGGTACAAGAAAGCAGTATACTATCCTTTTCCCTTCATGTAAACTCTTCTATTAAATTTTAATCACCTCTTCCTTATTGTACCTATGTGGAGTCAGAGAAGGAGAAGGTACTTTCTGACAAGTCTCCATGTTTTACGTTGGGTTCCTGATACTGGTAGGAATCCAGCAACTTGAGGCACGTGTAGATGAAATGAGGGGCATGTGTGCACAACAATTTAAAGTGGGTTAGATACTTTTGCACCTTTTTAATGGTGTTGGTGTTTGCACATGGCGGTGGCATATTGCACATTAATTCCAGCCGCTGTAGCTCATTCAGCTGAGTAATGCACCTTAAATAACTTTGGGGTGCAGCAAATTAAAACACTTTCAAGGAGTTTTAGTTTGCTGCCCTACAGCTTCAGAGCAAAGCACCAGGCTCCATGAGCCTCAGGGCCTGAGCTGGCACTCCGTGCAGGCAGCCTAGCAGTAGCCCAGGAAGGCAGGCTCCACCAGAGGAAAAAAAAATTGGAGAGCCTAATCTATTTTTTTTTTTTATCCCTGGAGCATGCCTGCCTGCCTGAGCCAGGTGCCTATGGGTGGGTGCTGCCTGTGGGGGAGGCTGCCACTGCTGCGGAGAGAAGCACCAGCCCCTCCCTGCAACCCAGGGATTGCTCCACCCACTGGCAGCTCGCCCTCTCCTCCCCACCAACAGAGAGGCAGGTAAGACCGGGTGTACATGACACGGGGAGTTTACTTCTCCCTAAATTGAAGTGGTGTTTTTAAAAACCCACTGTTTCAATTTAGGACCCCCATTTCGTCTACACATGCCCTTAGATTCATAGATTGTAAGGACAGAAGGGATCTTGGAAGATCGTCAGGTCCAGCCCCCTGCACAAAGCAGAAAAAATAACGAGGGGTCAGGTGACCCCAGCAAGGTGACTGTCTAGTCTCCTCTTGAAGATTTCCAGGGTCGGTGATTGCACGACTTCTGAAGGGAGCTTATCCCACAGTCTGGACACCCTGACTGTGAAGAAGTTTTTCCTAATGTTGAGCCTGAATCAGTCTTCCAAGAGTTTGTGGCCATCACTCCTAGTTTTCCCCTCAGGTGTCCTGGTGAACAGTTGCTCACCGAGCCCTTGATGCACTCCCCTAGTGTAGTGGTAACTTACCTCAGTTATGAAAAGATCTTCCTCCACATCTAAGCCAAGCATCTCAGAACAATATTAAGGGCAAAAGTGAACGAGTTCTTCTTACTGCCCTTTATCTCTGACTTGAGGTTACCTTTATCTCTGTCTTGATTTAATTGGTTTGGTCAGTTGCATCTCCAAAACTGCATTTTGGATCATGGTGTCAAAAAATCCCTGTCTTTCCTCTTTGCATCTTGTCACTCCTTTGTTGAGATCTTTCAGTCACAGCAAATTCCTAAGTGTAGTCTCAAGGGAAAAGCAGTGTGTCCTTCACTCTGAGTGCTGCCTTCCCAGAGCCATCTTGCCTTGCAAGGAGCAAGGGTGAATCCCATCTTTTGTAGATAATAAATGGGCATTTTGTCTACTGTCATAGTTCTAGAAGTGGTAACTGGCCCCTGAAAGGTATCCCAGGACATTTGTTCTTTTTTTATGTTACACAGGAAGCAAAGGTGGCAGGGGGCTGCCTGGTTTTCCTGGACTTCCAGGTACTAAAGGTCTAATGGGTGAACAAGGACCAGCTGGACCTTCTGGGTTGAATGGACCCCCAGGACTCCCAGGTGTACCTGGTGAAATGATTACTGGCCAGAAAGGAAATAAAGGTATTGCTGGCATAGATGGAAAACCAGGTGTGTTGCTATCATTTTGTATTTATGTTCAAAGAAGGTCTAATGGCTAGAAAGAGTAGGTTAACATATCTAGAATTAGAGATAAGAGGGACTTACATGGCAGGTGCACTCTATGATTGAACAAGTAGTTGCTTTACCAGTTAATGTTTGTTTACCATTGTAGAACATCACACACAATCAGTGTGATACAAGTGAAAAATAAAATATTGTAATCGTTCTTAATCCGGAAAGCATGTGTCCGTGATCTGCCAAAATCCTCATCCCACCCCTGTATTTAAATCTCATACCCTGTTTTACATACTCTCCTTATGTCCTGCACCAAATCAGTGGGCCCGTGGATTTACAAAGGGATCACTGTGGGTCTAATTTGAAGATGTGAAGTAAAAGGCTAATGGTGCAGACCTAATAAGGACCATAAAACCTTTACAACTTGTGATGGTATGAAGATGAAAATAACCAAGCTCTAGACCCCGGACTGAGTTAGCAGGGCTGGTTGCTGGGGGAAAAAAATGTGTGTTTTATTTGTTAAATGAGCATATTTCTGCATTGAAAAGAATGCTGGTGGAACCATCACAGTCCATTGTCTTCACTGATTCATCTTTTTTGAACAGGTCTGCCTGGTATGCCTGGACCTCCTGGCCTCACTATCTACAGAAGAGGAGACAGAGGTGATAGAGGGGCAGAAGGTATCCCAGGTCCACCAGGACCAACAGGTGATACTGGTCCTCCAGGTCCAATAGTAAGTGGAATAAAGATTCCTCATTTTTTAATCCCTTTTAAAAATTCAGTGATGGGGAAAATTATACTCCAGTGAAAAAGTTGTGAAGAAAGAATATAAGGTGGGTGCTTATTATACTTAAGCTTCTGAGAGCACAGAAACATTTCGCCATGAAATTCTAGCAATGCCATTGCCTTTCCAGTTTTAGAGTCCTGCAGTGCAGCTCTTGGTAGGTAAGATACATTTCCATGGCTTCATTTTCTGCTTGTTCATTTTCTAAACAACGGGGATGCTCTTTCTAATGTGTTCACAACCAGGGCCAGATTTTCTGTATAGTTACAGCATGTTCTGCAAAAGGTGATTCTCATATTCCCATTTGGACATTCACTCACAGTTTTTGGTTCCATTCACCTGTAGAAATTAATGGAAATAGTAAAGTCACAGTCCACAACATATTGAATTCAAAATAAAAAGTCTTCATATCTTCCACTGGGTGGATACAACTATTATATTTTTTCTTGTTGTCTGACCTGCAGGGAATTAATGGTGTGCCAGGCCACCCAGGTCCTGCAGGTGATATTGGCTTTCCAGGATTTCCAGGTGTAAAAGGTATTATCCTAATTATTAGACATAATTTTATGGACCAAGTGCAGTCACTTATATATTGTGATCTAACATAAAACCAATGTGTGACCTGAAGATAAGGCTGTTCTTAGCAAACTGAGCTAGAGCAGGAATAGGATGAGCAAAAGGGTAGCTTCACCAGATAATTAGGTCCGATCATATACCACCTTCTCTAGATTGAATTTTATTGATATAGCCAAAACTAACACCAACATGGCAAAAAACCTCTGATTCCCTTCCTTCCACTCAACTTTGCAGTAGGTATACTGAAAAATATAAACAAAGCAAGGTAGTCCCTATAGCATATCAGATCTTCCTGTTTGACACTTGTTTAGTAGAACTGCAAGTAAGCTATTTCTGTCAACACAGATTGCACAGAGCTAGTTTAAGGATTTCTTTGACAACTCCCCAGCTTTAGATACTTTATATGTAAAACTATCTGTGTGTGTAGGTGGGTTGTACTGTTAGACTGGCCATGATCACAACTCTTCAGGGCAGGACTGTCTTTTATTTGATAATTTGCAGACTTAGTGAGGGACACTGGGCCCTACAGACACGATTATATTTTAAGAAAAAATGAACGCCTATTTCTTTTCTGGTACTAAATCAAGATGACTTGGTTGCACATTGCCTCCTGCACTTGCTTATATACTAATTTAGCACCAGGATAACTATTAATTTTAGTGGGATTATTCCTGATTTGTATAAGGATAAGTTAAATCAGTATCCGGCCAAAAGTCTTTATAACGTGAACTTGATTTTAGTTAGTGAATTAGCACTGATGCACACCAGCCTCACTCGGGTAAAGTTATTTTCAAGGAATTTACTACCATAAAATGTTCCTATTTAGTACATTGGCACCTGCTTCATATTTGCTATTGTCTCTGTCAAAATGCCATTTTAGTCTGAAAGATCACTATCTAGTAATAGCACTTGTAAGCAGGTTGCTTAGCCTGCTGGCTTTAGCAGTCAAGTTTGCTTCCTAAGGAACTCCTCAGCCACTCCACATAGACAAATAAGCAAATAAAAACCAAACCCTGATGCCCTGTCATGGGCACTCAGAGGGTCAGAGGGAAACCCCTTTGGCTTTGGCCCCCAGTCACAACAGCCTGGCCCCTTGCTGTGGCAAGCTGTTCTGTTCACAGCTGATCCCTTCCCCTCCATAGCGCTCCCTCACTTTCCCCTTTCTGCTCCCCTCTCTGGGTTTTTAAGCTCCCAGTGAGTCAGTCCCTGATTAGCAGCTCCTACAGTTGCAGCTATTCAACAGGGCTGACCGCTCCCTCCTAAGGGGGCAGACCATCCCAGTACACATTTCCTTACTCAAGAGCTGACTGTGGAGACAAAAATTAAGTTTTTATGGCCAACATGATATGGACAGACAGACATATAAATGATTCAAACTCTGCTTTTTTGTAGCATTTCTACTTTATAGTAGTTTGTAGTCTGTAGTACTGTTGTTTGCAGTCTGTAGTTACAGATGTTCAACTGCCTCCCATCTAAAGTGTCACTGTGAAACACTTAAGAGTTATACTCGTTTCATCCAGGATAATTTTTGCTAGAGTTTAGCTTGTTTTGCAGTGCTGTAACCCAGTCTGTCACCTGTCCACTCGATTTCCAGAGGGCTTTAGAGTTGTTTAAAGCATACAAACATTGTTAAATCTGCTCATACCTACAGCTATGGAAGAATGACCTGGGCTTCATCCCATATTTTACATCTTGAAAATAAATGGTCCATAAATTCTGAATGTATAAAATGGTGCAGTTCCAGTAGGGACAGTCAGGGTCACGGGCAACAGAATCTGAAGGCAGTCGGGTTGCAGGTATAACCACTGGAATGATTTAGCCTGCAAACCAATGATGATATTGTGTAGGAGAGAAAGAACCCAGCTCATGTGTAAGATCATAGGCTGAGTTTACAGGATTGGAAATTAGGGAAAAGAAAACTTTCCTTTTTAATTACTTATATTTGATATGTAAATATTTAAATAATACCCTATGATGCAATCAGTTATAAATGTAGCTCTTTTGTTATAGTTGTATGAGTTCTTGCACCTGGAGTTTTCTTCATTGAACCTCTGAAATAAAGAGTTATCTTGGCATCTGCAACCAAGAAACCTATCTCTAATCTTCCTTTGTAGGAGAAAAAGGCAATCAAGGACCAGTTGGACCAACAGGTAAACCAGGACCAAGAGGACCAAAGGGCCCACCTGGTAATTATAGTCCATCTCATTCTAGCTCTAGAAAAGTGTTTTGTCCACATAAAACAACAAGCTCTATATTATATTGCCACTGGTAGGTCACCCTGGAATGAACAGGAAAAGGATGTGTACACCAGGAGAGAGAGGACCTCCTGGATCACCTGGCAACCCAGGAATACCAGGAGACAAAGGACATCAAGGGGTGCCTGGACTACCAGGTATATTTTACCACCAGACATGAACCTAGGCCATATGATAAGACTTGGTTTGGTAGCTAATGCATCTGCAGTTCTTTGTAGACACTTTTAGGCCCCCTTAAAAATAGTGGGCATTTATAGATATGCTCTGGAAGGCAGGGTGGGGGATGCTTTAAGTAGCACAGCTCTGAGAGCTGCACTAATTAAAGTGCCTGAAGTGTCACATGTATCATTGTCCCCACTCTGAAAAATGGTGGCAGGGTGCTTTAAACCATGAATGTCACATGCCTCCTGAGCCTGGGGGAGGGCACAGCAACCTCCCACAGGCAGCAGCGGTGGTGGTGGTGTGGCAGCGGCAGGGGAAGGGGTTGGGGGTGGGGAATGGTGAGTGCCGACCGGTGATCGGCGACTGCCTGCAGACGCTGCTGGTGGTGTTGGTGGCAGGGGGAGGTGGCAAGCAGTGACTGCCCACAAACACTGCTGGCAGCGGTGGCAGCGGCCAGTCTCAGGGAGAGCACCACCAATCTCAGGGGGTGCATGTGCACCTGCATGCACCCCCTACATGTCGCCAATGTTTTAAACTAAAGCTCATTGAACAAGCTTTAGTTTAAAGCACCCTGCCACCATTTTTCAGTGTGGGCATGCAGATATATATGATACTGGAGGGTGCTGGAGTGCAGTAATTACCACGCTCCAGCAGACTTGATTAATCAAGTCTGAGTAGCCTCCCTGCACGTGTATAGGAGCCCAGTGTTCCTTTCATGAACAACTTAGTATGATAGTAACTGCTTCATTTAGCTGAGTACTAGTGCACTTGGTAGGCAAGCAGTTATTGCAACACAGAGCTATGCAGGAAGAAAGGAAAAAATCATCAACGTTCATGTCAAAATGTTTGAAACATTCTGTTGAACAGATACATGCTCATTAATTTTTGTGCAAATAGTCTGTACTGACAGGAAAAAAAAAGATCTTGTCAAGTTCAGTACATGGGTTTAGGTTTGGTTTTTTTTTCCTTCTCCCTCACTCCCATTTTACATCAATTCAGTAATTTTGCTCTTTGAAGAAGCCCTGGTTCTTAAGGATGAGTATGGTCTGCCGAGCTGGAAAAAGTCAATAAAGTTAGCCGCTGTCCCACATTCCCTTCTGTCCTGGTCCTTTTCTTTTTCTCTCTCAAGACTCCCCTCTCATCCCTGATCTTCCTTTCCCACTCAATGAAGTCTGGAGGGATCTTTCTCCAAGTGAACAGAGAGCCCTATGCCTTCTTCCCATCTTACCTGATAGCCTCTATCTTGATGCTGAGACATGGCAGCAACCTTCTTGCCTCTGGGCTCAACTAGCGCTGAGAACAACATTATTGCCTATTACAGCTTCCAGACTGAAGTGGGGGAATGACACGTATCAGCAGGGAAGTGAAGTGTATCAGGCATGTGAGGGAACCAAGTGTTTGCAGAGAAAGGAAGCAAATTAACATGAAACTGTTTAAAATTCTGGCCCAGTTCCATCTCTTAGCACAAAACAAAAAATGGTTGTGAAGGGCTCCCTGGGAAGTTAGCCCTTGCTTAAAATATATGGGCTACATGAATTATTCAGTTCCTCCAGGTTAATAAAGGATATAAATTAGAGATTTGTTTGTTTATTTATTTATGTATTTATTTTAGTCTTTTACAAAAATTGTCACCTTATATTGGGATCTACATTATTTACAGATCTAGGAACAAGTACTGCAGTGGTATTTTTGGAAAATATAAATAAAGTAACAAATGCAAAAAGAATATTGATATATGCATTAGTTCTACAAGTCTCTTATGAAAATGAGATTTATAGTAGTGCTGCTATTTTTATACCATCTTCCTAAATTATTTTAAGTGAAATCTGGTGACAGGAATTTCATAGAATCATGACTGTAAATAATTTAATTCTATAAAAGGTTGATGTTCCAGTATCCACTATAATCAGCTGGATCAGAGATTTTATTTATTTAGTTGTCCATTTTGAATATGTAGAATACCATTTTATTAACACACTTTCTCCTGTGTACAACATAGGATGTCAAGGTGTGAAAGGTCGACCAGGCAGTCATGGAAGTCCAGGTCTACCTGGACCACTTGGTCTAAAAGGAGACAAAGGATTTAAAGGAGACACAGGTACAGTAAAGGAGATATGCATTCAGTCATACTGCATTGTGCGGATGAACTGGACTCCAATTTCCATGGATCCTTCCATTTATGTAAAGAGCATAATATGATGTTTTTTAATTGGAAACAGATCCAGCAAATCACATAAGTACCTGCTTGACTTTCAACTCATGAATATTCCTGCAGAAATGATGACTTGACAAATCTTACCTGAAAACATTCCTTTCCTCTCTGATTATGCTGTTTAGTTTTTCTCTGCCTCTTACTGATCAGGCCTGTTTATTTGTTTAAAAATCCATGTCCAACATCAAAGCATCATAGCACCTTCCTATGTAGACAGTCATTTAATGTAAAACAACAAAATGGAGCTGAATGTTTTACTTTATTCACTGTAAAATATTTTTACATTGCCATTACCTTTTCATGTCTTCTTCTCATAATACATCTACACTGCACAAATTAACCCATGGTAATATGGAGCCATCGTCTACTCTACCATATCATGCAGTGTAGGCATACTTACAGTGCAAACAGTGCAGACATCTGATTGTACAGTATTGCACAGAATCAAAATGCATTGTAATATATTAATATTTATTTAGTTGTTCCATAAGAAACCTACTTAAATACTGTTTCCATTC